ATACAGTCGTCAAAACGTACAGTTTGGTGACAGTTGGGAATGATACCAAGATTTAACAATTCTATGAGAACATCGCAATGTTCTTTTAACACATGAAACGGATGTGCATTAGTCAAATTTTGTATAGTTTCAATAGGTATACAAGCACCTGTATATATTTTGACAATAAACCCCTCATTCACATTGTGCAAATACAAACAAGACATTAAACCTTCTTGATAGTAAAAAGTAAGTGTTGTATAAATCTGAATGAAAAACGTCATTACTGTGCCAATGACATTGAACTTTGCTCTTCCATAAAGCAGCAGTTTCCATCTTCAAATAATGAAAATAACATTGATACCCTGACGAAGCATGTCTATTGTTTCACAACGACTGTCCCACGGGATTTTCGTATTCTCAATTTCTCAAGATAAACGTCCCAAGGCAGCATTTCTTGTATTAATTTCCATTGCACAAAAAAGTAGCAAATACTGTTACTGAAGCACAGAATTTGCATGATTTTTTTCTCTCCGACCATTCACGCAAACTGCAAACGAAGTCTTTTACTTCATCCATAGTTGCTGACACTTTGCAACCGCCTTGATGGATGTATTGTGACGTATTTTGACCCTCGATTCTGACCTTGCATTCTGGTTTCAGTTACCGCCCTTTCATACCACTTCAGTTTCCTTTCATCATTTCATCCAGATTCCACGATATTTAATATTTAAAACCAACCTTCATTTCACAGTCACTCTAGTTTTTACTTTTCTAAAATTATTTTACTGATCAAAAGACTTTCCACTCCCATCATGCAATCCCCCATAGTACTTCCGGAAACACAGAGGCGATCGCCAGCATATCTACAAATAACCTTGCTCTCAGGAGCTGAGGAATAATCAAAGATACGCATAACTGTATGTGACACCAGTCGATGGTACCCCCACCCCACCCCCACCACCACATAAAGGCTGCAGGCTAGACGTACAATTGAATATAGTTCTGGTTTTCCTGTGTACTATGGCGCTACATGGACGACAGTGGAGGCGAACGACACTGCTATTTATGGCGGGGTGTGGTTAGGTTTTAGGGAACTAATAAGTCATCCATTATCAATATGATCTTGAGGTTTCGGCATCCTGGCAAGAGATGCATGTTAGGAATTGGCCGTGGAAATTCCGGCGGAGATGGCGGATTTTGAAAAAAAAAAATCTAAAACCTAAAGCGGGAGGGTCGTCACTTGCGCATGCGCGGGAATTGAGTCCCGAGTGACGATAACAACACACACTAAAAACGCAAAGGCTCATGGGTAGACGCAATGACATGCAATGGCCATCTGACGCATGCGCAGGTGACGACTCTTCCGCTTTAAAGAAGAAAATCCCACACATACTTGAAAGAGAAAGGCAAACAAAAACAAATTTATAGCAACATCATCGTGCAAAGGTAGCTCAAAACCACGCAAAGAAAACATAATTTGCACAGTAGTTCTACCTGTCCTTGCTGTGTGTTTTCTTATATTCTCTTTGTGTCTGTACAGCTCCAGCAATACACACATTGGTCATGATCTAACCTTTGGTGGAAGCAGTTTAGAAGATTTTATATTCGACACGTTCCGAAATCCAGAGACAGGTCGTCTTTCGGTCGCCAGATTTATCAAGGTATAGTTGGAAAGTAGTGTTTATGTTTACTCACGGGTACAATAGGTTGTTATGATAGCGTGAATTTGTTTTATGGATATTTGTAAATATAAATATTTATAAAACATTGATTCGAAAAGATTCTCGCGGCGCATTCATTCCAATCCAAAAAAAAAAAAAAATGCTTTCACTTGTTGTATAAAACCATTTGATAACGCCCATCACCCTCAAGTCTTTGCCGAGTTCCTTCAATTACTGCCATGTACGTTTGCATCAAGTTTGTTTAAAACGCTTGAAATGACAAGAATTTCAGTGTTTGGTGAGATAATTTTAAAAGAATGCAAGTACAAGTAGTATTGTTTGGCACAGAACGTTAAATTGCAAAACGTATCTATGTTTGGGCAAGCGAGAGAGTGGAAATGAAGAGGTTAATTGGTCACATTGGAATTCTGGCGGCGGGAATTTTTCTTCGCGACCGTTTATAGCAACACTCTGGCCGTGTGTATCCGGTGGACTGCCACTTTTTCTTGTTGGCCATCATCAACTTGAATTAGTTCCGCGTTATAATTTCCCGACGATGTATAAATTACCGAGCGCGCGATGTTTCAAATCATGGCACATGAATACTGCTCTGTATTTGTTTGAAGTTCAATTGCTATGTTATATTTAAACAAACAAATTGTAATCCGTTCTTAGAGTGTTCATATCAGTTGTTGTTTTGTGGGATTAGCGGTACAGGGGGAAAGATAAGCATTCATTTACTCAGTGGACAGAGGCGGAGTTAATTACCCATGAGCACGTGGTGCAATCCAAGGGATTGAGCGGTTCCCCTTTAAGGCATGCTGTGATGTTATGTCAGCTGATCTCCAATCGCCATTTGACATTTATAAAATATTTATATTTTGTTATATAAAAATCAAGTTCATGCCATCATGAAGTGTATATGAGAAACAATGAATCAGATGACATTTATAGTACCGGTAGTAGTTTGCACCACACGAGAAAATAGTTGGGTCGTCAGGGACTTCTCAACTGCCAGCAAAGCTCCTAGAGCGAGCCCAAAGTGTGCTTCATGTTCTTACTAAAGGCATTCAAAAACGGTAAACATGTTTGGAAGAAAGAATTAATACTTTTCTAGTAAAGGCTAAGAAAAACTGTCTGCTATTGAATGTTAGCTGACTGTTAGTACACTGGAGCCAACAAGTGATATTACTGCTGTTATGTTTTCCATAGGCAATTGAAGAAACTGGACTGCGACAAGATGACCCACGTATTCATGAATGCTTGCTTCATATGCACGCTGCGAGACAGGAAACGGACACCATGGATAGAGCGACGTTCAAACAGTACGTGCACCTTAACATTTACCTGTAGGAAGTCATGTTTACTACAAAATGTAAATACTCGTTGCTCGATCAACTATAACTTTTCATCATCGATAATATTTCTCATGAATGAAAATACCGAAAAATTTATTTATTTTCCAATAAATTGTACTTTCATGCGATAATTGGGAAATTGGGGGTCACCAGCTTAATTTTCGAGAAAATGGGGGTTGTATTTTAGTAGATAGTGGCTACTTTGGCAGTATTATAACGCTATTACAGTAGGTTTATATGGTACAGATGCCATATCTCAAATTGTAGGTGTTATAGGCTGAAAAATTATATATTGTGACTGACAGGGCACGTTTTGTTGTCCTCAATTATTTCAAAAAAATCTGGGGTCAAAAAATGCAAATTTCCCTTAACATTGTGCTTCATGGAATTGTTATAAAAATGAAAAAAAAAAGTGAAATAATAGGACAAGTTTCTAATACGTCACTGTAATACATATACGTCATTGTAACGCACAATAAATGCTATTGTATTGTGCCATGACAATAGCTTCGTGATTTTACACAATAAACCAATGAACATTGTCATGCGATTCATGACCAACTTTCTCAAAAATTATGAGTAGGCTTCTACCTACAAATATTCTATCATATGTCATATGTCATACGCATGTTGATTATTTTTTGTATATTTATTTTATTTCATTTTGATCTAGTATTTATTTTTTGAAGTTTTGGTAATTGCGAAAGCCCCCCAAAAAATCACAAAAAATCAAAATCAAAGTAAAATAATAAAATAAAAAGGCATTAATAACAAAAGTAATAAAAAATAAGTCTATAGACAAAATAATTAAAGCCCGTACACTACATAACATTTTAATCGGATTGGTTTAGAGGGCGCAATTCTGATAAAATTGAAGATTAACAATTGATTTTATCTTCGTCCGCAGGTGCGTGTCGGAAAACATTGTCCTGATTGGCCAAGCACTGAAAAACGAGTTTGTAATCCCGGAGTGGCGTGTCTTCTGTTCCACCATTGAAAAGATATATGTGGAAGCCAAAAGTAATACAGATGGAAAAGTGAGTTTACAAAGTAACCATGGTGATCATGAACTGTGACATTCATATTAACTATCTTGATGGGTAAACCAACTGGCAAATTATGTATGTGAAGCTTCTGCAATCGGTTTCAACAGTTAGAGCGCAATCAGACTAGAGGTTGTCTATTATCTTGAGATATTGACAAATCTACGAATAATACACCTTTTCTGTAGTCGCGTCCTCGTGTGGCGAAGCGCTTCCATGACGTAAATGGCGACACACTGAAGAGTCGGTATCGTTTTGATCTGGTGTCGTTCATGGATAAAGACAATGTTTTTTGCGATTTCACTATATTCTAGACGACCAACGATTACAAAACAAAACAGCTGATGGTTTGAATGACATTTCCGTCACTAAATACGTCATTGTGACACCATAGAAGCGCTCAGACACGGAAGGGTGGGATTTATAGATATAGTGTCTCAGGTATCGAATCTACCTGAAGTGGGACGTATCTTACCTAAGGGTAATGTATGTTCTCATAGAGATAACCAAACAGTGATGACAAGCCGACTACACATTTACATAGCGATTCATCGGGCCATTTCGAAATGGCTGGATTCTAGGGCGCGATTTAAACCCGGGGAGCTATCAAAGATTATCTGGGAGGATCGCTAGAGAACTGTTTCTGAACATACACTAAACTAATGTGAACAATAAAATACAATATTAATAACGGGGCGCTATAACTCCCCCGTTCACAGTATCCATGTGTGCATGTATTGCAACGACACCTAAATCATTGTACACAGCAGAGGAGAACGACTGGGTGCAATAGTCTATGCGTATCTGATTCCATACAAATTAAACAGCATGTTCGCACTGTCCGGCAAAACGTCCTTCATAACTCTGCTCGTAATATGATATAAGTAAAACGTACACGACACAACACGTGTCCATTATCCGCATTGCACAGAAACGACATTCACGGCTACGTTGTTTACAGCGATGGCCAATCTGGCTTATGCAATCGTTGAACTGGCGTTTGCTGATTTAATTGTACGAGAACTGTTATAATTTACCTGAACCAGGGCTAATAATTTTGTTGTTGTTGCAGGTTGCCAACTATATTCCACAGTTGTCTCGTTATCGCCCCAACTATTGGGGAGTTTCTGTCTGTACTGTCGATGGCCAGAGGTAAGTTATCATATGCAATCCTCAGCCCCAATCAACCTTGGTAATACAAAGTTTATAAGCCATTATATCTGTGTTATCCGGAATATTGTGTTTGTAGCATTTGCGTGTGAAGTAGTACGTGCCGTAAACCAAATACAATTTGCAAGACATCTTGGCCAGAAATTGTTATCAAACAGCCGAACATTGCCGAACATTGCCGAGCATTTATGTAGATTCGGTTGTGATCGAAATTTCAGCAGCTCAGGGCATAAACAAATTCATCGAATCACATGCAAAACTAATTCGGCATACTTAATTATTAAAAATTTGATAAGAACCAAATTTGGTTAATGAACACCCACTTCTCAAGTGTTCTCACCTTTTTGTTTCTAAATATAATGTTTTATGAGATCATAACATCCATTGTCATTTCGTCCGAGCAAACATGAAACATTTCATACTTCCTAGGCTAGGAAGCAGATTGAATTTTCTAAGACAGAATTCGAAACAGCGTGTGCATGTCGGGTTTTTAGATTTAACACTCGCGAACGCCGTAAATACTAAATTCATTTCACATATGTTCAAGACTTCGATGAAGTTTAACATATAATACAGCTTGCTTTAAGTTATAAAAAGTTGTAAACAAAATGTTGTGATTCCACGGAGCTAAATATTATGTGCATTGCTTATATACGCAATGCTTAGTACTAGTGTTATAATGTATTTTGTTTCTCCAGATATTCGATCGGAGATACCAATGTGCCATTTTGTCTACAGTCATGTAGCAAGGCTCTGACCTATGCTATCGCCTGCACCGAGAAAGGAGCCGACCATGTACACAAATATGTGGGACAAGAGCCGAGTGGTAGAAGTTTTAATGAACTGTCTCTTGACCATAACAGTAAGAACGCGATCATGTATGTTTTAACAACTTAGTACTTGTGGTGTTCTACTGTGACACGGAGCCGACATCTTGTTCGTATATATGTCATGTGCTATATATTTATTTACGTCTGCTGTGTCTGAGTCTGGTTTAAAGCGCGGTAGTCGTCGCGCTGCGTATGTGCGAGATATATGGGTCTCATATAAACAAAGATGGCGACTTTGACTGTTGCGCAGATCAACGAACTGAGACGTTTCCAAGATTTAATTAAGTAATTTTCATATTATTGGAAGGCATCGAAGGAGTCACCGGTGGTAATCAGTG